TCATTAAGGTGTGCATAATCAGTGTAATTATTCTCAACATTTTCAGCACAGACCAAATTTTTTTGATATTTTTCATTCTCCAAATCCGAATTTTTTTGATATTTGTTATTCTCCAAATCCAAATTTGTTTGATATTTGTCATTCTCCAAATCCAAATTGTTTTGATAATTGTCATTCTCAAAATCCATCATCATTACGTCCATTTGATCGACAGCTAGATCCTGATATTCGGTATCATCAAAAAGATGCTCATTCCCCTGTTTTTCGTAGGAATCAGTCCAGAGTATCCTACAACCATTATCATGGTCGAATTCTTTATCTACTTGCTTATCGTTAGCGGAGACATTATTTTCCGAATTGCTCACTTCAAGCAACGTTGATGCAGAATCATTAAGGTGTGCATAATCAGTGTAATGATTCTTGACATTTTCAGCACAGGCCAAATTGTTTTGACATTTGTCATTCTCCAAATCCATCATTATTACACCCATTTGATTGATAGTTAGATCCTGATCTTCGGTATCATCATCTAAATCTTTTAAAAGGTTAGATAAAAATGCTGTCTCGTCTGCGGTTGGTTTAGTCTTTATACGGTCAAATTAATAATTAATATTTGAAAAAAAATTCTTATGAGATTATATATATATTAACGTTTAAATTCTTACTGTCTTGGGTTTTGAGAATTGCGTGGCAGCAGCCCTCTGAAAAAAGCTATTAAGCCTTGCGTTCGGTCGAACTACATCTGCTTCATCCTCCAACTCTTTGCTTCTTTTCCTTTTTCCTGTAATTAATGATAATTTTAATTGGCAAGAACAATTTTGAACGAAGTTATCCTATAGATGATGATAGAATTCAAAAATGGAAATTTTAATAATGAAAATGATTAGTAATCAATGGTATAATTTCCATTTTTAAATTTTATCACCATCTATAAGTTATCCTAGATTATGACTTAGAAAAGAATAGTAACCATCCATTGGAGAATTATCATAATCAGATTCATCAGAATAAGCTTTTCCCAGATCATCCTCAGCAAATAAATTTGCTTTCCCATCATCGTCTTCAATGAAATTATCTTGCTCACTTTCTCTAAGATGTTTTTGATATTCATCTTCGTTAACTTCAATGTAAATTGGTTCTGGCTCTTGAATCTAATATTGAATCTTTACTATAAGTATAATTCCAACAAGTATAATTAACGTAAACCTTCAGATAAAACTAATAAGTACCTCATATTCCTGTGCACGAGAACCACCAGTTTCTCGTAGCCGGCGAAGTTTTTCAAAAACGCCACTAAAATCTTTAGCAGTTGCACGTCGTTTACGATGCGATACAGGCATAATACAATTTCTTAAACAAGTGTAATAAGTGTGGAATAAAAAATTTTAATAGAAATTTCTTTGCGTCGCGTAATTTTAAAGAGACGCGCGTATTTCATGATCGACTATCATTGGCTACATGTGATTGTAAATGGGGACCAGTAAACCAGCAAGGTTAGGGGTAATTTTTAATGTAGTGTAACAATAGAACTTTGGGCAAAATTAAATATAATTCTATATTGATATACTCTAATTAGGGTTGTATTACGAAAGTTACAATCTTACAATACATGTATTTTTACGTAAATTTCAGCAAATCAAATTTAGGTAAAACGAATATCTGTATGGTATAGGTAGGACCCCGGATAATTCTAAGGTAGGTGGGGTAAAAAAAAGGGTAGATTTTTTGGGCCGAACGTGTCTAAATTCTGGTTAAAATTAAATTTTAATTTTAATTTTGGCAAGAATTTAGACAAGTTCGGCCCAAAAAAT